CGCCTAAACAGACGCGATGGAAATGTCAAACGCCCGTTTTTTGTTTGCTCTCTTTCCGTGTGAGTGCTGATTTGGACAAAGGAGCCCACATGGCCGTTCATGTCGCCCCTGAAAACAGCACTCCCTGCCTTTCTCCAGCATCAATGCACTTCATTGCATCTTCCTTCCCTCTTTTTTTTAAAAATGTATTTCTGTTTTTCCTTTCACACACACAGGTACTCACGCACATACTTTGAAGGGTTCAGATGGTTTTTTTAGCTGCAGGTCTCTTCTTTAGCGTGCTATAAATCTTTTCGGCTGTAATATTCAGGAAACCTTTGAAACAACCAGCAAATTACCTGCTGTAAAAACTGACTAGCACCCTGGCGCAGTAACTTACCTTACCTCACAGCTCTCGCGGTACTATTTTTATTCAGTGAGTAGCAATAACCTCTAATTAAAGCTTTTATGTCAGTGTATATTATTAGAAGCTGTAAATATAGGTAGACACAAGCAGCTGGGGGTTTGGTGTGTGTGTGTGCAGGGGGGAGGTATTCAGATTATGCTTTAAGACTTAGTGTTAGATAAAAGTAATGCAATACTTTGTCTTTAAATTATCAGACAACAATGGAAACCAAACTATCTCTCCCCGCTGGCAGAAGTTTTCACTTATTTTTCAAATGTTCGATGTAAGAGTGAATGGGCCCGCTGTGTGTCTGGAACCAATTTGAGGTGATCTGGACCTTTTGACACAGCTACCACTAAATTGAGTCTGAAGTGTTTATAAATTCCCTTAAAGCTTTTCTATGTGGCTTTTGTTCTTGACTTATTGCCACGTTTCATTGTTTGTCCCAGTTCCAAAAACCAATGTTCGCAAATCCCCAGAGATCTCATTGAAAAACGTGGCATGTTTGCTTGATGCTATTGATGATATTAATAGTTTTTTGTGTGTGTGTGGTTTTTTTTTTCCTGAGTGTAGGAAGCACGAAACAACAGAGGAGCTGTTGTCAATGAATATTCTTGCTGTAATTAACTCCTCTTGCCAGAAGGATATCTGAAGTGAGAGGAAACATCCAAAAACACAGCCTTTAGTTCTCACATGTTGAGCAAGACTGCCGGCATGATGATCAAACAGCTCAACAGCAGCAATCTGGGCAGGCAGGGAGGTGGGGAATTAAAGCTCTGATCGGATTTTTAATCACTGCTCTCCATGTCTCTGCCTCTCTACATCTGACACCAGACAACTCTGCAACTCTTAAAATCTGTCATCCGGGTGTAAAGTGGAAATTCCCCAAATACTTCCACAAAATAATGGTCACGGCGAAAGCAGAGAGGAATGCCAAGACGTATAATACTGCGTCCTCTTGAACTGGATAGGATGGTTTTAACAAATACTTTTTCTCCCTGGATTGTTTTAACTTTCAGAAGTACTTTATAAATAGGAGTCATCACAGAGAGTAGTGCTGTTACAAGTACTTGTCATTGAATGTCAGTGTTGTTTACTGCTCTGTGAGGACTTTTGTACTTGGCACTCTCTGTATTATCTGGATGCTGTACGATCGCATTATCTGGTACTCCAGGCTACATATACCAAACCACTCCACTAGATATTTTTATGAAAGATGTTAATATGTCAGTTCTTGTTAAAAGTAGAAGTGACCATGTTTTTGTGTTTGGATAAAGGTGATTTTCAGGTGCTTCTTTTCAACTTTTAGCACATGTACCAATATACAGAGTTTAGCACTTGGATCACAACACCTGAAATAAACTTAGACATTAAAAAAAGGGGGGAAAAAAAGACTACATAACAGTAGATAAAACAACGGGCAATAATACAACAAACGCGTTGTAGGATTTGGCCATTTAACCTTATTCAGGACTTTCATGTTGCCATGCGTAGAGGGTCTTTCGAGGTCCAAGAAAGAATATGTGCAAAATATTTGTTGGTATTCATTATAGACTTTTATACTGTTAAATACATTTTCGGACGTATTTTTGGTTCCAAATGCACGACAAATGTCCCTCTTTTTATATTTGAAAAAAAATAAATTAAAAAAAGTTTTCAAAAATAAAAATAAACCAATACTTGTTACCTAAACCAAATGGCCTGGGGTCCAAAAGACCCCAAAAGTCCTGAATAGGGTTAAAGTATTACAAGATTCCTTAATGTGTACAAACACATAGTTGGACTTTAAAATGTATTTGACTAAAATCTGATTTAAAATTTTACAAAAACTGACACATTGAATGTTGTAAAACCATCACTTTTTTCCCCAAATAATTTTTGCATGAAATTAAATAATAAAATGATGCCAGATGCTTTGGTGCTTGGTGGGAAAAATGTGCATTACCTACCAGTGTGCCATCCAGCAGCTAGCGCAGAATATTTCAACACAGCCACCGTAGCATGGCGTCATGTGGCTTTATAAGTGCTAATCAATTATATTCTTTTACTTTCCTCCCCATGCAGATTTTAAAAGTCATTGTTCTGATTGTTATGCAAAGCTGGCATATTGTTACAGCGCATACAGTACGCTCACTGTGGGCACAGTAATACTCCGAATTCCTCGGCTAAAAAAACTCCACCAAACGCAGCCATTCCCCACCTCTCCCCTCTCGTTTCTTTGTTTCCATCCTCGCACCCCTCCCACCCCCGCTACCTCTTTATGCTGTTTCCTTTGGTACTGCTCCTCGGCACGCCGCGCTCTCATAGACCTCACTGCGCCGCAGAGGTTCGATCCCAATTCCCCACATAGCTGTTGCCTGGGCCTCATTCACAGACCCTGTTGACTGGCAGCGTGAATGTCCCGGCCTCATGTTTCTCTGCACCCAAAACCTTTTCCCCCATCAATCATGGAGGAAGAAAAACATGTCAGAGTTAATATTTAGTCAGGAGATCTTTTGAGATTAGTTCAGTTTCATTTGGAAATAACTCTCAGCCATTGACATCCACAATAATCATAACAGAGCCAGCACAGAAAGAAACAGGAGTAAAAATTAAAACGTGCCATCATTTCAAAGCATATGGTCTCTTAAATGTTACCACCTGAGGCCAAAGATGCAAAAAAGGACTTCTCTGATGCTCATTATCAAGGAGTATGGTTTAGTTGATCATATTGAACCATTAAAGTTCTATCCTTAAATACAGCTCAAGTAAAACAATTTATTAAACTGCAGAGTAGCAATAACATCCTTCTTTTTTCTGCAGTGGTAGTCACTTAATACAAGTTTATTTATTTGCAGAGTGCATTTTACACTACTGCTACAGAACATCTTTAATATCCAGCTTGTCTGTTTTATAAATTGTCTGCACCTGTCACAACAGTAGGATGATGATTTAGAAGGTGATGGCTCCGAGCAGTGCACTCTGAGAAGGGTAAAAGATCATTAATCTCTGGATGGAGAGTCTCTTGAGTACAGCGATGTGTCTGTGTAATATAAACATTGGGATTGGACCCGGACTAATTCTGCCTCTTGATATGACCTCCTTTAAATGGGAGTTGCAGCTGCTGATGTTTCCACATTCCAGATGCTACAGTTGAGCTGTAATTGCAAGTAAAGCCTCTGAATGAAATAATAACTGTATGTTTATTACTTTATAATGTAGAAATTGCAGTCGTGTCACGGTGAGTTTTTGGAAACTTTCAAAAAATAAGGGGAAAAAAAACATAGTTTCTGTAATGACAGAGACAAATTGTTTTTAATCTCACAAGCACAAGAAATAGTGCAAATCAAAATCAGCTTTACAAAAAAAAAACCCAACATATTCCTGTGTGCCTACTAAGTTTAAGTTAAAAATAATAGAAATATATAACAAGGGAGCCATAAATTGAAGGAAAATCTTGTGTATTTTGTTTCCTTTCATCAGACTGAATAAATCATTTTTTGCTTCTTACACTGAAGAAAAACAACAGCACCGACACACCTGAGGGGTTTTAACTTCAGATATGCAGTGTGTCCCGTGTGTGAATTTTTCATGTTACTGTACTTCCTACACCCCTGTCTCAACACCTCTATATTTTCTTCTCTATCGATGGGGCAGGTGGGAGCTGGATTACCTGAAGCAAAACCGTAGCTTTTTTGGCCCGAGATACAAGAAAAGCTCTTGACATGGTGCAGGTGCAAATGCTAGGGAAAAAAAAAAACAAGGTTATGTTTTTTTTTTTCTTCTTCAGCAGTGAAGGTTTAGGTGGAATGTGACTGGAGAGGAGAGGATAAGGGGATTTCACAGACAGCTAAGTTAGTTTGTTTATCATAGCAGTGAATGACGCTTGTGGCAACACACAAACAGGTTCGCCCCGCGTACAGCCTGAGATTCACCCACACACAGCGAGATGCACAAATACAGACTTTAATGGCAGCTGCCGTGTATGTGTTCATCATCGCCTGAATGTAACTTTCCTCCCCGGTTTCCAGAAAGAGGCCCTTAAAAGGGCTCTTAACAGAAAGCAGGGCACTTTAGAGATTTCTCCGGCAACTACAGCATCGTGAATAATTCACAGCAAACTTACAACATGTTGCCATGTTGCCGTATCTGCAGAGAGTTGCCTCACATGCGAACGCCACGCTGATGTGTATTTATATGTCGGGGTTGCAGTGATATATATTTATGTTGGACTCACGCGCGTGTGTTTTTTGGGCTGTTTTTGAATTCTGGTCACTTGATGGTTTCTCTTGTATAGTAAAATGGAACTAAATAGCTCCCTTGAAATGCTGCAGTGGCACCGAATGTATAAATACAGACTACAACATTTACCCTGCTGCCTGTTTTACGGTTAACACGGTCTGTTTTAGTGACAAAATGATTAATCATCGTCTAATAATATGTTATTACAGAAAATAAAAGTGAAATTGGATTCTGTTTTAATGTGGCATTCAATATCCTGAGTTTTTGATGGCTGCACAGAAAGTCTATTTTTCTACTATTTTCTGTTCTTTTATGGGCAAAGAAAAAGTGAAAATAATACATGTTTACTCTGATTTATTTATTTTTTCTTTTATTTTTATTCTCTTTCTCTTAGCCTGTCCGTCTGGCTTTTTCAAGCCAACTCAAGGAGACGAGGCCTGCTTGCAGTGTCCCATCAACAGCCGCACCACCAGCGAAGGCGCCATTAACTGCGTTTGCCGCAACGGATACTACCGAACCGACTCAGATCCTCTCCAGATGCCGTGCACAAGTATGTATAGTCCTAAGGTTGTTATGTGTGATTCAAAGGTTCACAACCTTTGAATCACTTGCACATAGTACACAGACATGACATCCTTTGGTTTCTGATATGAACCCTTTGACGCACACACACACACACACACACACATTTCACACCCGCAAGCAGAAGAGCCCCAGGATCAAAGGACAGTGGTAGTCTGTGTAACTCCAAACAGAGAAACTCTGTCAGAGCTGTCCCTCACACGAACGGGATGCTGACATGCTCATAGTGTGGCTGTCCACAGATCTGACCCGACACACAAGGCTCAGCTGCCCCTCCTCAACATCACACAGTCCGTACTCCAAACCAGACCAGAGGTTACTGGGCCAGGGCGCATAGCTTTGTGAAGGGGCAGACTCGGAGAATGAATCGAGGCAAGACGCTCTCTTGTCATGCCAATGAAGCTGTTTGAATTTGAATTTGAGACTGACACTGAGGTTGAGAGAGAGAGAGAGAGAGACGGAAGGATAGACCAAAGCAAAAGTGAGCGAGGGAGGGGCAAATCATGAGGGGAAAGACGCGCAGAAAGAAATAAAGAAGAAGGAATTTGAGGGAGCGGGAGAAGGGGTGTGCGTATGTGAGAAAGACGGAGAATCGGTGCATAGAGTGTGGTCGAACTAAAACAAAATGGGGGTGAGTGAGAGAAGAAAAAAAAAAACCCTTTCAACGTTTCCGTAGTGTTTTTTCCTCACTCTCCCTCTCTGCCTGTTGAAAGGGAGAGAGGAGGGAAAAGATTTGATGGTTTCCAACAAAGGAGATTTGCATAAGCCTGGCTCTGGGAGTTGAGCAGCTGTTGTGAATGAGAAAGCAGCAGCGTCACGTCACCCGTATTAAGCGCAGCAGGGCCCGGCCTGATTAAAGCAAGGGAATGGGCCCATCAGAGCGGCCCGCCAGCTAATGGGGGGGATATTAGTCCTCCTCCCCAGGAAGGAGCCAAGGAGGAGTTATGTTTCTGAGAGACACCAAGAAGGCCACTCCAATGGGCTTCCTTCCAGAGCCGGAGATCTGTTAATTGCTGCCAATTAAAAGGAGGTTAAATAAGAAGTGATCGATTCAGATTTAGGATGTTGTGGGCGGAGTGGAATTGTTTATCTCATTAGTCCTGGAGGATACGTCTGCCATAATTAGGTGCACATGTCTGTAAAAGATAAACAGTTCTCATTGTTTGTTTGTTTGACCTGTCACTCAACATGTAGCGCCATGTGGAAAGTTTCCACCCCGTAATGCCTGGCTGCTAAGAATGTCTCAATAGGAGAAACAGTAGGTTTCTCTCCGCTGCAGTAACTCTATACGATGCTCCATGAGAAAATTGTCAAGAATAGATGTTAAGAAAACACTTGACAAAGTGGACACCAGCATTGAAAATGAGAGAGTGTAAATGGGCATCCCGAGGGAAGAGGCACTGCCAGCTTGGAATGCAGTCAGCTCTGACCTCAAAGAGTCTATAGTATCTTTGCGAGTTTGTGGATTTTCTCTCCTCTTGTGTAGGGGTTATTTAAGTAGAGTTAGTAATTATGCCCTCCATGCCCTCAAGGACACAACACGACTCCCAGCACTAAGTCAATTGTCCTTGAAGTTTTGGCTTATGTAAGTGACAATCACATCCTGTCATCTTTTTTTCCAGACTTCTTTTTTTTTTTTCCATCGCATCATCAAAAACATGTATGTTAAACAAGAAAAGACACAGAGTTTATATAATCCAGTTCAGTGACAAAGTTTAGATCAGATTAAATGTCAAAATGCACAAGCCCTCTGGAATGACACTTGTCATATCTGAAAGATGACACCATTCGTCCATACCTTGCGAAACCATCATGAATAACAGTTTAAAAAAGCAAGGTGTGGTTAGGCTCGGGCAGAAAAAAATGAGTTGATTAGGCTGAGGGAAAAAACCAAGCCCTCAGGGAGAAAGCATGATTCATCTTAAAATAAATAAGTAACAAGTCAAGTTTTGGAAAACGTTGTGCTTTAGGTTGAAATGACTACTCTGTGCAAATCTAGGATCGGCTTTGTCATCATGACTACAATAACAAACACATGGTTGAGGTTATGGGAAGTTATTGGAAACAGGAAACAAACAACAGTGTCCTGTGTCAAAGTATGATGTTCTGTTGACCTGCGAATCTTCCCTGACCTCCTCCATGTGTGGACTTTTTATGAGATCGTCACCTAAATTCCTACTTTGCTCCATTTTTCTTAAAAAACTAAACAAAAAGAAGCTCTTTTTGGAAGGACAATTGCAATTCAAGATTGTATCTCCAGTGGGCTACCTTGAGAATAATGAAATAAAGGGGAAACAGATTTCACTGCAGTTTTGGTGAAAATTAGGCCTATATTTGGTGCAGCCCTGGATCTATTAGTGTTACCATGTTTGACTTAAAACTCTGAAACTGTGAAGTTTAGAAGTAGATTCGTTCTTTTAAAACAAATTAGTAAGTAAATGTCATAACCATTTCTACATGACAGTTGCCTGTATATATATTTTTTTAGATCTCTTTTTTTGTCTTCAGTTTTCTTTTTTATTTAGCTTTCTTTCATCACACATACAAGTGTTGCCGCTAAGCGTTGCACACAGCGATACATGCAGGATTCTTCTACTTCAATGTGGCCGATTTGAATGACAAAATATACAAAAGCAATTGTAAGCACTCATTGTGAGGCACATCTTGATCAAAGATTTACGCATTCATGTAACCAAATGTTACAGCTAAAGCATCTCTCTTGAACCCTCTTTTGCAGCTGTCCCTTCAGCTCCGCAAACAGTCATCTCCAGCGTGAACGAAACCTCTGTGATGTTGGAGTGGATGCCTCCTCGAGATTCAGGGGGCCGCGAGGATGTGGTGTTCAACATCATCTGCAAGAGCTGTGGCGGAGGCCGGGGAGGGTGCACCCGCTGCGGCGACAATGTTCAGTTTTTACCCCGTCAGCTGGGCCTGACAGAATCCCGGGTCTACATTAGTGACCTGTTGGCCCACACACAGTACACGTTTGAGGTGCAGGCTGTCAACGGGGTGTCAGATCAGAGCCCCTACTCCCCCCAGTACGCCTCAGTCAACATTACCACTAACCAGGCTGGTAAGTGGGCCCATCTGTCTTTTTCTGCACTTTATATTCCCCATGTGGTTTTCTCCCTCTTCTCTTCTCTTCTCTTCTCTTCTCTTCTCTTCTCTTCCCTTCCCTTCCCTTCCCTTCTCTTCTCTTCTCACCATGTCTGTTTCCGAGCTGCTCCTGTGCTGCTCATGCCCTGCACAGAACCTCTTCATCACACTCATTCCTCTTCAAGCGCTTAATAGACGGTGCATAGACTTCCACTAAGTCTTTCGTCTCTCTCCTCTCCTGTATGGTGATGTATGCAGATTGAGGGCTGTGAAATGGGCAGGAGAGTACCGTTGATGATGTGACAGACAGAATGTGATGGCCTGCTGGTCTTTACAGTGTGACCTCATCACCATGTGTATTTCAAGCTGGGGAGCTGAGAGCAGGCTAGCTGCTGTCTTCCCACTTCATCTACCGTTCAGTGATTACGGCTTCGTACTTATCCACCCACTTGGTTGTAGAGTTACGTAATTTTTTTTGAAAAGCAGTAGCAGTACAGTATATACATACTACGTGTGACCTACATGACAAACTAAAAAGCTACTTCAAAAATGAACAAGAGGCCAGTATTTCAGTGCGGTTGAAAGCTTAATTAAGTAGCTTGGTAAGTGGGGTAACTTTTATATTTTAGAAATCCACCTCAAAATCTTCCTCAATCTCTCTCTTGCAACTGTTGGGAGTTTTGCATGCTTTTCACTATGTGATTGCGGCCGAGGTCGGCCATTGCATCTCTAATTATTTTACCAAGGCGGCAGCATCGATTTTCTCTTTAATTGTCTCTATGAAATGCATCATTTGGCGTGCCAAGCTTTGCTCCCCCAAGCACTGATGAGTGGGGTCGGGGGGGGATACAGGATGGGCTTTATCTTTCCACTTGCTTTGCATCTCATTGGCAACATACTTAAGTGCCTGTCATCTCTCATCATCCATCGCCCCTGTGCTGAGGGCAGCCTTATGTGACTGAGCTACTTAAAGCACTACGTTAGCGTACTTTACAGTTGACATATACTGTAGATTTTTTTTGACTAGGCTCTTACTCGACGCCTATATTAAGGCATTCAAACAGGAATTGTATACATGTTAGATGAATACATAGAGTACAGAAGATTTCTTCACTTAAATTGACCCATTGTAGCAAAATTTTCTTTACTATACAGAGATCTGCTTGTTAAATTCTTAATAAAGTATTCACATCCAATATTGAAACTGCATGTCATACTAAAATGGAGGCTATTATTCGCGCGTCGACCTCTTTTTATTGTCTGTTTTGATTTGACTCACTGGTGTGGTGGGTTAATGAGGGCCTGTGAGTGCAGTTAAGCGTTGTAATGAGGCCCCTGCCCCACTCTGTCTCACTGGGCCACAATAAGTCTGCCACCCCAACCCTTGGCTTCTGTGCTGCTCCCGCCGAAGGGTCCTGGCGGAAATTGGGGGGCTCCGCGCCCTCTCCACTGAAGTGCCCGTCACTTTGGATTAGGCGGCGAGAACTCCCCGTCAGAGGGAGCTGTGAAAAGAACTCACTTTTGCCCGGCCCCCAAGTCCACGTTCCCACTTTCCCTCGTCACCCGTCACCCTGCTCACTACCGGGACCCGGGGTTGGAGTTTTTTGCGATGCTTCGCTACAGGGCTGTGGGGTCACGGGCACCAGGAGCCCATAATTGCATCTGGTTTGCAAGGCTTGGAGGTTACATAAACATCATGTCACCCCTAATTATCTCAGGCAGCCCTGTGCTTCGCTCTCACATTGAGAATGAGATGGAGAAAAACAAAAACCAGTGTATGAAATTTTGTATACATCCACGTATGTTAATCAGCCCCTCAGTAAGCTCGCTTCAGGCCAGAGGCTGAAGCGTTCCATGAAAGCAACAAATAAATAAGTAAATTTAAAGTGAGTGGCGTGAAAGTGCGTATCATTCCTAATGTGGATGACTGCCTCCTCAGCGATGACTTGTTGGTGTGAAGGGTGGTGGGGGGCGGGCGAAGGAAGTGTGAGCAAAACTTCTCACTCTCCATACCCAATCAAGCACCCACCACACTCTATTACCCACAGGGCTTATCCTCCCACTCTGTAGGTGGTTGGCGACAGTTCCTCTCTGATAAAGGACGTGATTGCCCTGGAAAGTGCAGCGCTTGATTACACACTGTAATGCCACACAAAAGCAAATGCTGGGCTGAATGGCGTTTGAGCTTGTTTTATAAGCATATGACTAATTCCCCAAAACTTGCATTGTGTAAAACACGCAGAAGCCTTGAAATGTGCCTCTAAGCCTGTTTTTTTTTTGTGTTTTTTTTAAATAATGAGTCAAGCTTAACCCGTCTACTTTGGCTTTGCTCTGTAGAATGTTACTCTTATGTGACATTAAATGAGCAGAGGGAGAGACACAGAGTTGTGAATATGATGCTTTGTGTCAAGGACTGAGGGTGAAAACAGGAAGTTGAGTGTGTTTCTAGGTATTACAGTGATTGTATCTGACAGATGAATGTGTGACGATACCAGTATGTATGTATACAGTGTGATTATGTTAGTGTGTTGATTGATTACAGACATCCATCTACAATATGGTATTACAGAGATTCTTTTGGAATTATTACATGTACAGTTTAACAATATTGCAGCTGAAACAGAAATGCTAATGAATGGCAGACTTTAAAGGACCAAAGCTAGCAATGAATGAAGAAGTTTTGCCTTTGTGTCAAAGCCTGACATACAGTAGCAACCTCCCCAACCCCCAACCCCCAAAAAGAAAAAAAAAAAAATTAAATGTATATATGTTATATGTTCCTTTGTTTCTCTGGTCAGTGCATAGTTCTGCTTCTAAAATTACTCCTAACAGCAAAGCTGTATTATTCCAGCTCTTAACAGTCCCCAACAAATGTACTCCTGTTAGAAAGTATAAATAAAAACTAGAGTTCCCAATGATTTTTGGAAATGACTTTGCCTCACTCCCAATTATTTAATCTAAGACGCAAATCTCTAAGAACCTGTGACTCATATCTCTTTCAAAGAAGGCTACAGCGACATGCTAACCCTATGTGGATTTTATCTTTAACCTCTTGGCGTCCACATGCATGGACGTCACATTTTGGATTATATTTCCACAGTTGCTATTTTTTTTCTCTTTTTCTCTCTTTTTAAAAAAAAATCTTAATTATTATTTTTTTCTTTTTCTTTGTTTTTTAAAATATTTTAAATATATTTTTTGCTTTTCTTTATGTTTTTTATTTTTTATTTCTCTTAAATAAAATAAATAAACAAGAGATCGGGTCTTAATCAAGATTTTTAGACTTCAACAGACTTAGTGACTGTATTTTTTGTTATATTTAAATATCTGATTGTGAAAAGGCTGCTGACACCACACTAAGCCAAGCCCTGTTTCACACAACTGGGAGTTTTTATGTGTTAACTAATTATTTCAGTCCAGTGTTTGAGTTAACCAGTTAATTTAACCAGTCGTACAAACAGACACACAGTCTTAATTTGTGTTTTCATTAATACCCCACAGGGTTCTCACCTCTTAAAGAGATTGTCTTTTGTGTGGCGATGTGGTGAGGAGGTTTTTTATAGTTGTTGTTCTGTTTGTGGTGCAGAATATCTACAATGAGATTTACAGCAGGTGTGCATCATTAGGCCCACACAGCAGTGACTTAGCACTGAGGTTATAAAAGGAGCAAATTCAATTTTCGCTGGTGCACTCAGGAGTGTGCATGCCTGTTCAGAGGTAAATCACACTAAATTGCTACAGTAATAGTAATTTAGTTTGTCTGTGATTTTGTATACTTTGGGAGCTTTGTATTGGTTGACTCAGCCTCTGGTGAATTGAGTAGATTTAAGTAAAAAGAGGGTTCCAGTAAGGTGAAGTCATAAGATAAAAGGACAGTCTCTGGTTTATGATGGCTGCAGAGAATATGACGGTCTGCTTTCTTTCTGCAGGCATTAGCTGTAAATTTTTTATATTTTAATATTCCACACTGTGCCTCGATTTTATAAATAATTTAAAATCGTTTTTCATTATCAAACTACAGTTGTTACACTTTATGGTATGTGGCAGCAGCTCTGCATTTTAGAAACACAGAACAGAGAGACCTATTGATAAATTACTTTGAAACAACAAGGTCCTATATTTGACTCTGTTAGGTGAAAATACTTCTCTATGAGACTCTGAAACACCAGATTAGAGCTGCAGTGATTCATCAAGTAACAGATATTTCGTCAACTATTAAATTATTGCAGACTCTTTTGATCATCGATGAATTGATTTGAGGAGTTTTTAAAGAAAAACAGTATAAATTCTTTGGCCCAGCTTCTTAAATGTGAAGATATATATTTTTGTTTCGCCTCTTCTATGAAAGTAAACAGAACTTTACTTGGTTGTGGACAAAATAAAACATTTGTCATCCTGGCTCCTGGAAGAAAAAAAAAGATTAAAACTTAAAATAAACAGATTAATCTGCAGGCGAAATTTTCATTAGTTATAGCTTTAGTGGAAAACACATTTATTAAAGGACTTTACTCATGCCCAGTAAATATCAAATGTGCAGAAACAAGGTACCTTATCAAATGTGCAGAAACAAGGTACCTTATCACCAATTCATTTTAAATTAACATTTAAGTTGGATTAATACAGTTTAAATAGTCTTTTTTTGGGTGGATTTTCTTGGTCAGCACTTCTGTACACTTCAGACTACATTACTTCAGAGGACACATTTACTAGTTCACATATTATGTCTTCTCTGTCCTTTTATTTTTCTCTCCGGCCTTCCCAAGTTCTCTCCATCCCCTTTTACTGGCTCATTACTGGATGAGAAGAAAATTGTGGCTGAAACTGCAATGCCACCACGAAGTTTAATCAAACATTTCTGACAACTGAGAGGCAGTGTATGAGTTTTTTTCCCCCCTTCACAGCACTATTCTACAATCCCCATTTTGAGATATGGCAGGATAGACAGCGTACCAACACAACCAAGAACACAACTTAGAC